TTTGTTGGTGGATCCTTGGCATTAATATTTGCCATACCAGTTCATTGAATGATTGATGAACTGGTTTATGAACCAAATGTGTATGCAGGAGTGGAATCAGTAATGATTTACCACCACCTGCACTATCTTGTGCATCCTTTTGATACGAACACTCAAGTCTTATTTTGCAAAGACTGGGAAATGTAATTAACTTACTTTTCCTTTTGTTTTACAAGAAAGCAAAACTAATCAGAATTTTTGCAAGATGTTCTAATCGAATTGAACTTTTTCTGCCCTGTGTGCTCTAACGGACCCTTTTAGCAATCCCATTATGGTTTGGCTAGGCCCACAATGCGGTGGCTGGGTGATAAGGAATGGAGCTGATAATTTACATATTGTTGTTATAGGCCATGGTCAGTCTCACTATTAATTGTTATTAATTATGCAAGATACAACACTAAACTCATTCTGAAAATTTACAAAGATTGGCTCGAAGGTGTTTATTGGAGGGAAAATGACAAGTTAAAACACTATATTCCATTTCCAATGTGTCTGAAGATACCTTTGTTCCCACACAAAAAAAAGACACCTATGTCACGTTTTATTATGTTAAAACTTGTTTAAATAATGAAAATGATTTTAGTTTTAGAATGATGGTAATCTGCACTCAGTTTTTAACACAATCCGTAGAATATAGGCAGGAAATTCTAGTAATTTTATTGAAGACTAACTCAGTTAAAATAGTGTGACATACTGTACAATTGTATCATCTAAGTACTGGAAGAGACGAAGTGTTATCTGCATTTCAGAACTGTAGAAATATTTAAATGTTAGGGCTGTTTCACACTACGACCGACTAGTCCGACTCCAAGTCGTGTTGCCATGGCAACAGCAGTCTGCCGACCGACTGGTCATTCCAGTCGGACAGATTTAAAAAGTTAAATATTTGTATTCAGGTCGGAGCAGTCGGTGAGCTACAGCCAATGAGAGCTTCGAAACTACAACCAATCAGACTTTGGATATATGAAAACTATCGAATCAATCAAACATAACTTTACATTATATATATTTCTAATTTANTATAATAATTATTTATACCATTCCGTGGTATAAATAATAAATTCATATCAATAATAATTATGTATTACAAATAAAAATAATTTATTGTTAATTTAAAATCATCGCTAGGGCGCCTCTAGTGCCCGTTTTCGGCATACCGTTACGCGGACAGATACGCTTTGAATGGGTTATATAGATAGATAGATTTAAAAAGGTTTGTAAAAATAAAATAATTTTAAGCACCGCAAAATTAGGTGTTGGTGAAACTGAAGTGATAACTTCAGTGTTATTTTCCACTTTTTTCGCAGTAATTTATGTTTTGGAAATGTGCGATTATGTACTGAGTTTGATGAACTTTTAGACTTACATCCAAATTCACAGCAATTCTTATTATTTACCATTGTAGGTTGAACACTTTCTAATTCTAACAGACCAGAAACTTTATACCCATAGCTGCCGCCATTACGTAGTTCGCGCTAATACCGCTAGATGTCAGATCTATCGTTGGCACAAGCGAATATTCGGGTTGTTGTTAAATTCAGCGCTGCGAACAGCGCTTCTAAGCGATGCCGCTGAGAGCGTTGTTAAACTCGTTTTCTTGAAGCGCTGCGCGCAGCGAACGTCTCAGCGATTTCACTNTTTTTTATATTATATATTTAATAATAATTTAAAAGTCTATATGCCTATATAAAAGCTAGCAGATTAGCCCAGATTAGGTCAGTTAACCCTTAACTGGAATCGTAAATTTTACAATCATAACTGGTATCATGGGGGCTGCGCAGCCCCCATGATACCAGTTAAAGGTTAAATTAAAACATCAACTGCAAACATTAAGATTATTATATTATTTTGTACTTCTAACCTGTAAACACTATCATATTATAGTGTGTAGTTTATATTTAGTTTATATACTTGTAGTTTGTTTTTTTTTCATTTCTTTTGATGCTAATTAGAGTATTTTCTTATGTGCATAGAAATACGTTCGATATTTCGCAAAAACCCAAATAACTTCTAAAATAGTACAGTAGAAGGCGACTTTCTCAAGGTATTTTTTAACTGTCTATCTCCATTCCGCCGGGTGAATTTTTTAAAAAAACCGTTTATAGTTTGCACTCTCATGGCGTACCCTAACTGTGTACCAAATTTCAACTTTTAACTCTTAATCGTTTAAGCGGCCACGGTGGCAGCCTACCGCTCTGGGGGACCCGGGCTCGAATCCGAACGGGTCGAAAACTCCCCAGGAATTTTTCGGGGGGTGGTCCGTTCGGAAATAACGGGCCCCGCCCCTTACCACCCGGCAGCCCCATTGTGGACCTGGCCGAACCCATAACGGGCTTGAAAAATGAGGCCCTCTTAGTGCCCACAGGGCGGAAAGAGTTAACTTTACATTACTTGGACTAGTGAATTACTTTTAATCATTTCATTATACTTCATATGTAATTGTTTCGTATTTTTGAATTTTTCTTTTATTTGTGGCCTTTATGCCAAAGTGGTATTTTTGATATGCAGCAACTGACTTAGTTGCTGCCTACCAAAAATGTGTAATGCCTTCGTGATAAAATATCAAAATAGTAGTAGCCCGGGACTCCCCCTAGTGGGCGTTCTTTACAAATTTCCATGAGGCACGGTTCCTTTAACTTTTTTGTTCCTATCAATATGTTCTACAGCTCTGTTAAAGTCCCAATCGCATCATACGGATCTATATTTCTATCTATTAAACATTCTAAAAAACTTCAAAATAGTTTAATTTGTTTATTTACCTTCGGTTGTAAACCTCGATTTTAAATGTATCCGCCATTTTTTCAACAAATTTCCCGTGAGTCAATGCGCGACGTTCACTNTTTCGAAGACGCTTATAAACAGCTGCAAACGTATTTAATAGGAAATAACATCTATATTAAGTCCAATCCCTTCCAAGATATGACACTTTATCTCCTCACCCCCTCGACCTTTAATCACTAAAATTAATAGCATCAATGTCCCTTATACAGAAGCCACCGTGTCAAATTTCATTTCTTCATTACTAATCCTGAGTAGTAATGAAGAAATAGACTCCAACATACACACATGGAAAGTTTTCTGTTTTTATTTTTGATTATTGTGGTGTTCAGCAGGTTTCAAAACGTGGAAAGTTAATAAAAAGTAAGTTTGAGATGTAAAAGCTTAAGTTTTTTGTAAACAGTTTACAGAAAACATTTCTATAAAAGGTGCAATAGTACACGTCCCCACGCGTACAGAACGTATCCCCCAATATTTTTGTATTGAAAATTTGCTTCCAAAATATGTTATAAAAGTTTATTTAATTTATATAATACAGTATTACAAAAATTAGAAGTAGAAACGAGTACACTGCACACTATATATACACTTTATTTCTTATATTCATTCAAAACCTGATAAAATGTGGAAACTTTTTATTCATTGCAATTGGCCCTAACATTTACATAAGGAAGACGATGAGCACACCACATTACATTCTTTTATTTCATAAAGAATAACGCGCAAAATATAATTAAGTAAATATTCATACTTTACCTTTCTCCATTTTGGCCATCTTAAACACTTGCCAATTTGATTTTAAGTTACTTAAAATAGATTAAAAGACTAATATAAACAGCTTAGCGCACTGCCTGTCACTTAGAAGAAAAAAATAAGGCAGCTGATACAATTATATCACACATTATGGAAAATGTCTCTAGTCCATCAACAGAAGATATAGTTAAGAGAAATTATATCTTCTGTTGATGGACTGGAGACATTTTCTCAAATACAAATCTATTTTTGCAATATACAGTTTTATAGTGTCTTGTATTTTTACGCGGATTTATTATGCAATTTACGCAATTATCGCTAAGACAGAGGGAGAGTATAGCTTTTATTAATTAATACAATAATGCGGAACAACAACAGAGCCATCCATGTAGCTATGCAACAACTGAGAAATGTAGACACAGTAAATTACTTTCATTCCGTACTTTGACAAACAAATATTCTGAGAGATAACATTCTAAGAGACAAATGCCTTGTATTCAATTGGACCAATCAGCATAAACCATGTCAATTTTTAATTCCTTTTGTTATTTGAAAATCGCTATAAAGATGATGAAAATTTCAGGTTTAATTTTCATTACGAATTCTACAGTGGTTTGTTTACGTTGTTTGAATGCATTAAATAAATTATGATCGTGTAAAATTTATTTACCATCATTTGTTTAATAATGATATATAATGGTTATACCATGCACGGCAACACTCGGACATTACTAAACTCAAACATCATTTGTTAATTTGGTTTAATTTGATGGTATACGGCAATGCAATGAATGGGAATGTGAAGGAAGGATGCCTCTCGAGTGGACTTTTTACGGAAAATCGGCTTCTGTTTACGTGTTAGATAAGGAAAACACCACGTTCCAAACAGTTGGTGAGGCGCAAACCCGCGACCAATTAAGATTATTCAGTGGGTCTATTCACAATTATTTCAGTATCATTTTCAGGATAAAGGAGAAATTTTATTACGATGAAAGTAATAATACTACTGCAGTTGCCAATGAAATGCTTTCAAAAGGAATAAAAGTATGTGGTTTAATGGCCACTACATTTAAATCGTAAACGTAGCTTCGTATTCATTAAACCATGTGTTTGCCAACATTTTAAGTCTTTTCATATCATAGTCATGAATATAAATGTGATTACGAAATAAATCAGGCAGAAGGAATGTTAATATCAAGGTGTATTAAGCAATATTAAAAGAATGTTACATCAGTAGCATGCTTAACAAGTAAAAGGTATAATATAATATAGCATTGTCTGTTCCTAAAACTTTGTTTCATAATTTTTTATGGGTTAATGGAATTTTCAATTTATTACTAAATCCATTAAAGAAGATCGATTTCTCTTCAATTTATTAATTTATCTGAAAGTAGCATTATCTTTTCGGTAATGTTGATTGATCAATTAATGTTTTATAGATAATATTCTAAATATAGAAAATAAATTTTAAAATCAATATTGTAAAACCATAATCCATTTTATGCAGAAAGTATTAAGAAAATTGTCATATACTCAATGCAGCAAAGATGTCTTCGGAGCAATCGAAACACATTTGCTTGAATTGTCTGTTGAAACCTTACTTAAACAATGCTTTTATTTTTGGTTTCTACCTTCAAATTACTTCTAATTGTGGAACCAACCAATCTTCTACCTTTGTACCAAAATTTTTAAAATGGTGCTATTGTCCAATCATCGAGTTTTTTTTATGGGAACATTTCTTTCTCATGTCGTGGCAAACAATTCCTGTGTTAAGTCGATCTGCCCCTTGTGTCGCTTCGTATTCTGTGATCAAGAAAGGACTCGCAACATTCAAAATGATTGGTATATTTTTGTCATTCGTGGGAGCTTCGAATTTTACTATAGTAAAACGAAACGCGATTATCCTTGATATAAGATTGAGGCATTCATTTTTTCACAATAAAATGGCACACGTGATAATAAATAACGTTTGTTTGCTTGTGTCCGTTATTGTAATCGCATTTCAATTCAGTTTGGCAATAGTCAATCTTTTCACTTTGTATCCATTGTGGCAGAAAGACAAACTGTATAAGTATGAAGAAATCTTCTGCTCTATGGAATATGGCATGTGGATTTCTTTTCTGATTTCAGAAATTGCTTATCTCTTCTTATTAGCAGGGATAATTGGATTCGTTACAGTGAAAGAATATCAACAACTATCCAAAGAATTAACATTATTGTTAAGAAATTCTAATCATCTACGCCTGAAATTAGAAGAATTCATGTCTCATCATCAAGAACTATGGGATTTCATATCGATAATAAATAATAAACTGTATTTTCTCGTTCTTGTTGTTCACATTTATCTCACATTCGGAACATGCTTTGCTTATTACATGTATTTGTTTTTAGGCATAGATAAAGCCTTCGAGTTTATATTACTCGGTTTGATCATAATAGGTACTATAGTTTGTATTATTTATGGATTTCTTGTGTGTTGGATCGCCTTTACGGTACGTAAAACTTAAGATACCTTTCATTAAATATAGTAAATTTCTAATCTCTTATTATACTTCTCAGATGGAAAATACTTTCCAAGATATTCGACGGTACGCTGGTTTCAATCTGTCACTACAAATGAAATTGAAGGTATGTAAGAAAATTATCTACTCCTCAATTCACTGTTTCACTTTGCTAATATAGACTCTTAGTCAAATGAATATACGGAATTACTTCTTTAGAGTTATTAGTTCCTGTTATTGACAGCAGATGTAATCGAAAATCCCTGTAATTTTTAGGTTGTTGTCTGTCTTGAATATGTTGGTCTCCATCTGTCAGCATTGTAAGTCTAGTAGAACCCACGATAAGCTTAAGAAAGGCCGTATTATTAGTAGTTTTAATTTGGAAAGAGTTGAAAAAATATATAATTGTATGTATAATTGAAAGTTATATAAGTTTATATTACTGTAATAGAGGAAAATACGACTATCGAAGCCGTTGCGAATATTGCGGTTTAAAAGCTGAGAATCATGATCATTATATAAGTAAGGTCATGCCACTTCCTTTGTTTGCATAGCTAAAATCGGTAAGAAGCCAGTTTTTGCCACTACTAGCGCTTCAATCGCATTGCGCGCAATTTTTATAATATATAAGCGGGGGAAACGCTCTCCTTTGATGGTATTAAATGCTGTAAAGATGCGCTCCGTAAGCTCACGAACTGCTCCTACAGGTGTTGCGTACACAAGGGATTCACGTTGACTAGTTGTGTGTTTACAGCAAAGCGCCAGTGAATGCAAGGGGTGACCTGAAGGACGACAAGCACTAAGTACACAACGTCCTGTACACAGGCTCAGTTAGACCACTGTAGTTATGTGTTTACAGTCTTCCATCCGCAGTAATAATATGACGTTAATGAAGGGTAGCACCAAAGTGAAGAGCAGTTCCTACCGCTGTAGACACTTTAGTTCAAATTTCCGGCTATAGGTTCCTTATATCAAAACGTTCAAAATTTCGTCCTCTACAATCCCCCAAATGTTTAAAACGCCATTCTGATACACCGTGTATATACATTTTGCTGTGAAGAGAAGAATGTTTTATTCATTAAACGAAGATTTCCACATTGCTTCTTAGGATGACAGAAAATTTTAATATTACAAAAGTTGTCTTTGTAGGCTACTTTTGAGCTGGTTTGCTTTTCCTCACAGGCAGAAGCGTTTATGGTTTTCAAACTAATTTAATTACAATTTTATGTAAACTTTCGAATTTTTAAACTTTTTCGTTTTGTAGATTTTATGTTTTCTGCACTCTGGAAAGCAGCATAAAATTATTTGACATAGTTATAAGAATTTTCGTAAAACATTAATTATTTTGAAAAATACATTAATTTTTAAGTCATACGCAGCGAGGCCCACTAGTACTAAAGACCACTAGAGGCCCACTAGAGGACCAAAGGATAAAACCACTGAACATTGGTGACTGGTCGAGTATTCGCACCTCACAAATAGGCCACCTGGAGCTATCCGGGTTTTCTTTACGTGTCTAAACACCGAAATAAATTCAAGTTCCCTTAAAAACTCCTCCCGGGAGGCAGCTCACCCATGTGTTGCGTTGCCATATCCATTAAACTGTAACTAACACGGTATTATTTTAAATCTAGATTTTAAATTTTATGAAGAGATTTGGGACAGTGGCATTAACTCTTTCGATTGGAGGAGTATTGGATGTTACCAAGAGATTTCCTTTTCAGGTGAGTTATTCAACAAATTTTTCCATGTAAATGATTAATTAATATTTCCATATATTTATAATATACTAGTGAGATATAAAAATTTTCAATACTATAAAAAACACGAAGTAAGAAGAGCTGAAATTTTCTCTTTTCAGTTGGCTAAAACTTTACATTCCATATTCTCGGGATTGTTGAAGCTAAGAGACGTCTCTTATAAAAGAAGACGATGCGATGAAATTTCTATTCACAATAGAACAGTATTTTGAATTTCAATTCGTTTCATCATCGAGACTCTCTTGATCACTCTTATTATAGTTACATTATTGATTAAAATACACATACATTGTCATGTATGTGTATTTTACTACGACTTATAACCACGTATTGTACGAAATGTATTTCTTTATTTAGATTAGCACCGAGTTAATATTCATTCATGACTGCACGTGTATTTTTGACCTTCTGTAAAAGAAATTATAAAATATTGCTCTCAGACAACATTGTCTTCATCTACTCAATACAAGCATTGCGCCTAGTGGAAAGGCATGTAACTACTGTGGTGAATAAAAAATCAATTTAACTAATTAATACTACATGTTACTATAAATATTTAGTACTGTAGTAATGTACAGTACTAAATTCTACAGTTATACTACAGTACAGTACTACATTACGTATTCAAAATTTGTAGTGTTTTGATATAAAGTTTTGCAGAATGTATAGCTAATTTTAATTACAGTATCTTTATTTAATGCTGTCTAGAGCAGTGTTTCGCAACCTTTTTCTACTTGCGGCACACCCACGACTCGACATGACTCAACACGGCACACCAAAATTCCAAACGTCGAGAAACCCAGCTCACACAAATAGGTAGTTGAAAATAACAATAACACATTAACTGTCATCTCGGAGATAACGGCATTCACTCCTTATTGCCAACCGAAATGTATCCAAAGGCACTTCGAGGAGTTTTAATTTCAATGTTCTGTGTGCTTTTAATTCTGCGAGTTCCTCTTGTAAATTAATTGATAGAGATTCTGAAATCGCAACGAATAGTTCACGAACCCAGTCAATATCTTCAACACTGTCTCCAAAGTACTTCTTGAATCTCTGCTTCAGGATTTGTAAATGTTCTTTAATTAGGTCTATCATCATTTTATTTCTGAAAGCAAGTGACCATACAGTCTAGAACATTTCAAACGAAACATTTTAAGTTTACTGTATCCTCAAATTTAGCTTATTCACAAATCCTTGAATCTTGCATTTTTCTGTTCAGCTCATTCAAGTGTATGAAAATATCGGAAGATACTCCAACTTAATATCCATTCATCATCTGTAAATAAATCCGCGTACTCATGTCCCTCGACAGTCAAAAATGCACGTACCTCGTCTTTAAGTTCCAATATTCGCGTTAACACTTTTCCTCGTGATTACCACCGTACTTCTGCATGTAGCAGGAGTGTGGTGTGTTCTGATCTGATTTTCTGACACAATATGGAAAATAGCCGCGAATTTAAGGGTCGCGATTTGACGAAATTCACGACATTTACTACTTCGTCCAGCACAACTTTTAGAGAAGGTGACAAAGATTCTGCAACAATGGCTTCGCGGTGAATAAGACAATGATCGCATCGTGTACTTGAGCTATAAGTCCTTTCACTCGGCCTGTCATAGCTGTGGCTCTGTCTCTACAAACACTAACAAGGTCCTTCCATGTTAATCAATTTTGGAGCGCATATTCGTTAATCACACGAAATACTTTTTTTTTCACCGGTGGCTCGCTCGGGAAGTTGTTTCCAAAAAAGAAATTACAGGTAATTGCAATTATATTATCATCGATGCACCTAATATAAACAAGAAGTTGTGCGTGGCCGCTAATATGGGTGGACTAGTCGATCTGAAGTGAGAAATTTCGACTGCTGTTGATTTTCTTCTCCCTAACGTATTCAATATTACTGGACATCTCAATAATTATAACTATTAAATTTAATACAAGATGGCGCCTAACGTCTCCCTCTAATTGTTTGGTAATTTATTATTATTATAATCGTTATATAGTTCAATGGCATACGGCAGTGGTTAGCTTTAGTAATATAATGTATCGGATTTTCGTACTGTTGCTTACTTATTGTGTGATTATTCGCATTTGTTTTATGAGTATTTTGATACATTTCACCGAAAAATTGATCGTATTTAAAGACACAATATTCGTGTGCAGTAATTTTAATCGCGATAATTCATCCGTTATATTTTACCATGCTTGTTTCAATCTTGTCGCGCATTCCAAACAATAGTTTCATTTCAACAATTCGTAGTATTGTTCAAATCTATATATATAACCCATTCAACGGGTATCCGTCTGTCCGCGTAACGGTATGATAACTAGCGAAGATTTTAAATTAACAAGAAATTATTTTTATTCGTAATAGGAATTTATTATTGATGCGAATTTATTATTTATACCACGGAATGGTATAAATAATTATTATATGCCTTGTCTTGTCTTATTATATGCCTCGATTAACCTTGCGCAGCACGTTTACGACATTCCGTGACTCGGTGAACGTCGCGCATTGACTCACGGGAAATTTGTTGAAAAAATGGCGGATACATTTAAAATTGAGGTTTACAGGCGAAGGTAATAAAACAAATTAAACTACTGTATTTTAAAGTATTTATAACCATAAGGCAGATAATAGGAAGGGCTTATCACACCAATGATAATGGGCAAAAACGCTCAAGAATCAAAGTAAAAATTTAAAAAAACAAAAGGGGGGAGGGTACAATAAGATGATTACATAAGTATAAAAACCGTAAAAATCCAAAATGCATTTCGGACTATTTTCCAATGGGAAAATAGTCCCTCATCAGTTGGTAATAGCAAGAGGTCTTAATATACTTAAAATTATACAAGGTGAAAAAAATATCAAATTTGAAATTAAACTTAAAACTATGCCTAAAACTATACAGTATAAAGATGAAACCATCGCCTTGACTGTATGAGCAGTAAGCATTATCAATGTAGACAGTATTAACATTTCTTCCTAACGTTGCATGGTAACATGATGAACAGGGTGCTGATACAAAAATAGTTGAGTTAGCCGAAATATTGGTTAACAGTTATCAACTAATATTATACAGTCAGTTTAAAATATGTACATACCAAAAACAGTAGAACAACAGAGTTGCAGGTTCAGACATTTCTACAAGATGCAGGGAGCGGTTACAAAGGAGGTGTGTTACCTTACACATCTGGAGCACAAGTGATGACAACATATGATGCAGCCAGATGTCACTGTTAATTTTATCTATTTTAACTTTTAATAGATGAAGGCCCATGCACAAATATCAATTGGGATCTAGGCAAATTATTCTTTAAGTGTAACATTGTCATTACAGAAATTGCTTTTAGCCCTAAGTATAATTAAATTAATTAAAATATCTATAACCATAAGGCAGATAATAGGAAGGGCTTATCACACCAATGATAATGGGCTCAAATGCTCAAGAACCTGTATTCCGTTAATTAATATGCATCTATGTCCTTAATTTAATCAAAATTATTCTTTTTATCACTATATCAGTGTATTTCTATTAATAGGACTTATCATACTGGTGTACAAGATTGCAGACTCACAGTTACACAGATTAAAATTGTTTTATTTTCAATTACCTGGACACATACAATTTGCGTTTCTGACTTGTATGTCCCTCCTCAGCAGGTATTCAATAAACAAATTCTAAAATTTAAACAATAAACAAACTTAGATTCCCGACAATAATTTTTTAAAATTCTAAAAATTGACAATAATAAATTATAAATCCATACTATTTTGTTGTTGCCGTTTCTTTCTATTCCATTTATTCTCCAATAACTTATTCCAATAACGATTAATATTAATTTTAAATTATTCATTTCTTTTCGTTGTTCTTCACTTTCACACTGTAACTGTGAGTCTGCAAGCTTGTACACCAGTATGATAAGTCCTATTAATAGAAATACACTGATATAGTGATTAAATGAATAATTTTGATTAAATTAAGGACATAGATGCATATTAATTAAAGAAAGAAGTTCCTTGACATTTTGAATAAAAAAATGTGCTTTAAAACTTAAGACAATAAATAATTTTATTTCAAGAAAATTCAGCTTGGTTTATTACAAATGAAAAATAAGTATTTTGG